CCCCAAAACCCCAAAACCCCAAAACCCCGGAGTAATATTTTAGCGTAGAAGTTAGTGATAATTAAAACATGAGAAAGACCCTTTCAAACTCCTCCCAGTCCAGTTCCAGTAACTCTCTTTTCTCACCTCTAGTACCTGCAAACACCTCCCCTTACACCTTCCAGCCCCCAAACAGCCTCCCTTCTCCTGCCGGTACGCTCCTCTCTCCTCTCTCACCTCTAGCCATCTATTGTCCTACTCCTAAACCACCAGCTTCAGTCCACCCCATGGTCACGCGCCTTCGTCAAAAGACTTCTTCCCAGTCCACTTGTTCTCAGACCTCTACTTCAGATACTTCCAGTCAGCAAGCCGGCCAGCAGCCCACCGGCCGGCTGATGGGGAAGCTCACTGGGAAAGCGCCGAGATCGATGATGCCGAAGACTGTTGAGCAGAAGCTGAAGAAAAGATTGAAGGGAAACGCGAGAAGGAAAGATGAAGAGATTGTGGAGAAGAACAAAGGGGTTAGAAATAGTTTAGATGATAAGAAGTCTGATGGGTCGAAAATTAGTCAGGTAAAAGATGATAAACTTCAACAAAGGAGTGAAGTAGAGGATAATTTTCTATCAGAAACTAGTTCCAAGCAGGAAAGCTTCAAGAAAGAGTCTTACAAATCTGATATTATTGGCTGTACTGAAGATACACTGAGTAATGACAAAACTGATCCCACTGAAATATCCAAATCCCAAGCTACTTACCAATCAGTAGAGACAAAAAGTAAGCCCTCATATCTAACTCCTCCAATCCTTCTCTTTCAAACTTCACATCACCTATACCCAAAAATAAGCTACTTTCCTCCAATTCCTAGCCCATAAAGCACCTCCTACTCTTCCAAACCTCCTATTCACCTCCCTTACAACCTCATCTAGCTGTTCCCTCTCCCAAAACCACCCCTTCCAAGCCCCCCTCCGTACAAGACCCCTCAAACGCTGCCTCTTCTTCTCCAAAACCCCCATCTCACAGGAAGAGGCAGAAGCCATCAGGAACCCCCTCTAGTCACTCCCAGAAGTCCAATAAGATCCAGAAAGTCACTGAGAATCTCGAGGATGAAGCAGAAGTGCCTGAAGCCGAGGAATCTGAAAGCGAAGGTGAAGAAGAAGCTGAGAGTGGGGAAGAGTCGAAGCAAGAAGGTAAGTGAGTGGGATTTTGGCTGGAAGATTAGGGATTTTTAGTGAATAATGGGATTTTTGGGTTTAGGTGGTGAAGAATCGGTGGGTGAGAATGAGAGTGAGAATAAGTCAAGTTCGAAGAAGTCAAGTTCTGATAAGTCAAGTTCGGATAAGTCAAGTTCGGATAAGTCAAGTAAGAAGAGAGATAAGAAAGCGGAAGATATTGAGGGAGAAGGAGAGACTGATGCTGAAGGAGAGAGCGAGTCAGAAGCTGATGGAGAAGATGAAGGTGATTCAGAACCAGATTCGGTAGGTTATCCTTACTAGGTATAGGAAGACAATCCTTCTCTCGGACTTATGGAGAACTTTGAAGAGCAGTATAATATCATTATGAAGAGAGTGAAAAAGATCAGCAAGTTAGTCAATACCAATGGTAAGGTTCAATTTCTCTTAGATTTTTCTGGACTAGGTCACTGAAATCTTGACATTTATTTAGGCCAGGCGAGGATAATGAGAGTGTTAAGAAAAGCTTTCTGTGAACCTGCTTTTGTAAAAAGAAATCTTCCATATAATAGCAGCTTCTGGATATCTCAAAATGTAAGTATTTTGTCTTCTCAAAGCAGTTATTTTTCTTAAAAAGCTCAAAATTTATTTCATACTTACATTTACAAAACCTATAATACCTTATTTTAAACCTCACTTCAATTCCAACTCATAATTCTTACTATAACCTTTCCTATCTCTAGAAATCCCTCGAACCTTTGGACTAAACTAAAATCCATACCTCCCTCAAAACATTTTAACTCCTCCTCTAAAAACTCCCACAAAATCTCTCCATTTTCAACATTTTTAACTTTCCCAGGGGTTTTGGGGTTTTGGGGTTTTGGGGTTTTGGGG